CGCTTCCTTCTCGGGCGGGGAGTGTGAGCACCTGCGGCCAGGCCCGGCCCTGCCCCCCGTGAGAGACCCCCACGAGCCCGTCGGGGGTGCGAGGGGAACCCCACTGAGCTTTCCAGTGTCGCCCCGCCCCGCTGGTTCCCTGCCATCCATTACAGGAGCGCTCCTGCAGCCCCCCTCGCCTGCAGGGGACAGCTGCAGCCCTTTCCCACCCTCCCAGCCCAGCCATCTCCGTCCGGGCAGGTCGGTGGGCCCCTGCACAGTGCGCTGCCGGCCGCGGCGGTGCAGCAGGAGAGGGCAATGAGACCCTGTTCTGGTGTGCTTGTCAGGGGTCCGGGTTTTGGGAGAGGTATTTGTCCTGGTGTAGCTGGGGCACTCGTAGCCTTCACCCCTCTTTGTTGCCGTTGGATTCCTGCATCAGTCGGTGCCAGCGTGTTGTAGTTGTGTTCACGGGTTGCTATTGCAGAGTGAAAAAAGGTAAAAGATGAAAGTTTTGCTGGATGGGCTTGATCTGAGAGCGCTTCCTTGCTGCTCCGTGCAGGCTCCCACTGCGTGCAAGTGGTGGGGATCCCTTCCCATGGAAGGCATGGGTCTCCCTGCTCATACTGGGGAGATTGATGTTCCTTCAGACCAGGGGAGCGATGGAGTGTTGCAGTGACTGTTGCTGACTAAAGGACACCATTCTGGGAGGAGGTCCTTTGAAACCCCTTGGTATCTTACATGGACACATCCTCGGGTGTAAACTGATTTTCCAGATTTGCTGCTAGCTAAAAAGTGCTGTATTGCTTCTGAAAAATAAGTTTATTTCATTCAACTAGAAGATAAAATTTGCTGCAACTTCAAAGATATTTCAAAAAGGCCATAAAAAATACATAGTTACCTAAATTTTTAAGTTTTGTTCCCAGCTGCTCCTTCAGACTCAGAGCTGAGAATGACAGCTGTTCTGTCACTGTGCTTCAGGGACCTGATGCAGCTTTGACGCCTGGTCCCTGTTTATAGGAAATTATCAGGATAAGCTCTCAATGCAAAGAAGTTCAGGGTGGGTGAATGCAGGGCAGATTTTTTTTTTTCCTTAAGATCTACTGATATTGTGGTAGCATTGCATTTCAGTTTTGCACTGGTGAGGAGGTAAATGAGGCCCTGTCCTGGCTCGCCCGGGGTGGGAGGCTCTCAGTGCTGTTGGACGCTTTCTCTGCTCTGCCCGTAGCACCTCTTGTTCTTCCTGGTGCCTGCAGCCTGTGTCAAGCTTCACTCTTTCATTTTCCTCTGCCTTTCATTTAGCCAGCCTCTTTAGCAGAAATTCTTCCTAAATCATGGCACAATGTTTTGTTGAGAAATGTTGTATGTAGTCAGCTTACATAAAACAACGGTATGCAACTATAGTTGGTGGTGAAACTGGAAGTGGTGCTTGGCTTGGTTAATGCTCCTCAGACTTTGGGGTTTTGAGGCAGTTGGAGCAGGCCAGGCTATTTGAGTTTTTTTGTAATTGTAGTGGTGTTAGTAGTGTACACTGGGGGTGGCATGGGGGGATGCTCACGGCTGCCACACAGCGTCAGGGCACTGCTTTTCTCAGAAACTGCTTCTGCATGTTGGGCTTTCTGCCTAGGTGCTTGTTAGACCTTGAAAATCTGAATATATACTGGCTGGGGTCTAGCCTAGTGGTAAATATTTTTAGGACTGGGTCATCAGCAAGATGCAAGGCCAAGACCGGCTGAGTTCACTTTTCCTGTTAACACCTGTGTGGAAGGACTTTGACTCCTGTGGTTTCTGTTTGACATGACTTGGGTTGCTCTCCTGGTAACCAAAGCCAGTAAAAGTACCCAGGAGCTCCTCATGAAGCCTGGAGTTGGGTGCTCTGCCTGTCCTGTCTTCGGGAACCAGCTGGCTTCAGCTGGAGCAGGAGCTGCTGAAGCCTCTCTGCTGCTGGGCTTCTCCATGCACCGCCTCGGCTGTCACCAATCACCTCTTTTTACTTTGGAGTGTCCATCCCTTCTGGTAGCTGAATGTGTTCATGGAGTGCTAATTTTAAGAAGAGTTATCTAATAAATAGCCTCATGAGAAGTATAACTTATTGTGGACAACTTCAGTTGCCTGTAAGCTTCTGAATGGCAGTAACAATCTCACCATAAATTAAATCTTATCGTATGGTTGAATTACAAGGGACACAGCATCAAGGGAATGTAGATGACTCCGAGCCATGGTTTTTCTTCAGATTAGCAGTTAGAGGTGTAACCTGGGCAACTGTCTCTGCTGATTTTTGCTGTTGTGGTGGTTTAAAGTTTGTGAACAAAAAGTTTTTTTCTTGGCCACACAAACTGAGAAGTTTAGTGAAAGGAAATGCCCAAAATGGTCTGAGAAAGAAGCTTTCTCCTAATTTGTCACCTAAAACGGGTAGTTGGGTGCTGGGCAGTGTGTGCACGCTTTAAGGTTGAGATCATCCTCTTCATGCTTTCTTGTTGCATGTGTCAGCAGCCTGGAGGCTCTGGTGCTGCTGGGGCAGGGCTCTGCAATGCTCGCAGGGGCTCTGAGGGACTGCTGAGCCAAGTCACCACTGTGGTGGCCGTGATTGGGCTGGAGTCAGAGCTGTCTCCTGCTGTGGTAAGTTCATCTGTACAGGGGTGTCCTGGTGTTGCTGGGACAGAATCAGCTTTCTGTTCAGGAAAGCTGCATTACTGCGAAGGCTGCAGCACTCGATTCAGTGGGAACAGAGCTGCTCAGACACTTTGGTTTAGTTTTGGCCAGCCCTGGTATGCAGTGATCAGGGTCTGTAGCAGTTTGAGTCAGCCGGGTGCAGAAGCTGGGGGGAGCACAAGGCCAGGGCAGCTGACCCAAGCTGGCCAACAGGGTTATTCCATACCATAAATGTCATAAATGCTCACTAAACATTGGGGAGTTTGCTGGGAATGGCCCTCTTTCCTCAATGGCTTCCATCTTTGGAGGGTCTCGCCCATCGTTCTGTTCCCAAAGCCTACTTCCCTGTTTGTTGCGACCACTACATTGACTCAGTATAACTTTGTGCATGTTATATTAATATTGCTATTAATCCTGTTTTTCTTATTATTTTATTAAATCTGTTTCTATTTCAACCTACGGGTCTCCTTTTCTTAGTTCCCCCCCTTGGGTGGGGAGGAGTCATTGGGTGACAGAATAACTGCCTAAACGACGATAGGGGATCTGCAAGTATAAATAAAAAAACAAAACCCAACAAACCCAAAATGTTGAAACCTGATCTGCAAGCCAGGAGGATGTTTGACCAATCTCTATGCATGCAAGGATTAAAACCTAAAACCTCCCACTAATTTTTAACGATGTGTAAGGCTGGCTCCATTTCACCGCACAGAGCAGGCTGCCTACCTACTCAAAGCGTAGAGGGACAAAGGAATGTTTTCATGATCTGCCTCTCCCCTTTTTTAGACAAAACACGTTTATTACGAAACAATAATCTAACACTTCATTGAATTTTTTGTAGTGTGGTGGCCACGCGAAGGCTGTCCCAGCGTCAGTATCCACATACTTCTGATTGTTCAGACGTAGCGTGGTATTTGGGAAATGCGCCCAAAAGCACCAAGGAGCCTATCACTTTCCATCTGCATTTGTGCTGAGCGCCTGGCATGCTCTTGCCAAATGCTTTGTGCCAGTGGTGAGCACTTGTTGGGTGCGTTGCATCCTGAGCACACGGAGACCCCACTGCGGTCCCCCTGTGGATATCACTTCAGTGATGTGGGACAGCCAGGGAGAGGTGTGCAGGGTTTTTTTCTGGCCATGTCAAATTAAACATTTGCTCTGCAACAACTGCTACCAAATTGTGAAAGTAAGGATTTTGTAGGAGTCAGCCTGCTTGAACTAGCGTAGTTTGTTGTAATTGAGAATTTTTTGCCCGCTGACTTGTTCTGGGTACAGCACAGGTTTGCTGATAAGGTGAAGAACTGTTATCTGTGGCAGCAATCTGTTACAGAGGCTCTGAGCTGCCAGCATTGGTTGGAGCAGTTATGATTTTGCGTGAGTCATCATTTTGGGGGATGAAGAAAGTGAATTGTTCCTGTTACCTTGGGGTGTGGTCCGACAGTTGTAGCAAAGTCAACGGGATGGGGAGGTACCAGTGAAAGGCAGAGTCCTGCTGGGCGCTTTGCTGCTGGTGGCTTTTCTTGTGCTGTCAGCAGCGCTCATGCTGCTTGCAGTGACCAGGTTTAGGGAGCATGGCAGAAAAATCAAATGGAAATTAAAATGGCAGAGTGTAAGAAGGGCAGAAGGCATAGATTTGAGTATCCCATTTCCTAATTGTGTTTTGGAAGGTGGGGGTTTTTTTTGCCACTTAATTTTCTTCCCAGCAGCTGGATTTTTGACCAGACTTTCATTGACTTTATTATTACCTTTGATAGTGGGACGAAGAACATTAAATAAGGACTTTGTGTGTTGTTGTGCTTCAGTGGGTAGCATTTTCATATGGAATATTGGTGGAGAACTCTCTTTCAGGCTGTAATCTTTGTTTTCATTCAGGTTTCTTTAAACTCTGCCCACTGTTGAAAGATGGGAGAGATAGAAGGAACATACAGAGTCCTGCAGACCCCTGGCTCTCGTTTGGGTGCCCAGAAGACCGCAGGAGTGAGTACCTTGGAGCCTGGACAGAACCTCTCTACTGCAATGGCATCGTCGCCTGCCAAAGCGCATGAGCGGGACCTACCACTCAAAATAAAAATGTTGGACAACACGGTGGAAGTGCTTGAGATTGAGGTAAGAGAGGTGTAAACCCAATTTCTAGTCCGCTTAGCCTCTGATGACATAAAGCTTACAGGATGCTCCACTGTACAGAGCTGGGATGCTTTGAGGCACTGTCTGAATAAATATTTCTCTAGGGATTTTACCTACTTACAAGTAGTTAAATGAGTAGCACATCTTGGTTTTTTTTTTCCAGCCTTTTAAGTATAACATATGTGTTGTGTTTTTAACAAACTTTAAATACAAGCACATACTGTAACAAGAAGCTTTAAATGTTATTTGCTTTGGGGGAACACCAACTGTCTTCTGCCAAGCTGTTCTTGCTTCCTGAACCACATGCAGCTTTGTTGATTTGGCAGTTGGGAGAGCAGAAGAGCTTTTTTATTCTTTAGTTAGTACTTTTTATTAATTATTTTAATGGCTTGAATCCTCTTCAAGTAAACTTGCTCCTAGTTGAAAGCTTTTACTTGTTGCCACGCTTTGGGGGGGTGGCACTACCACACTACCAGAGGGGTAGCAATGTGTCTGAAAATTTGTATTTAAAAGTATGCTTGCTTATCAGTCGGGGAAATCTGCCTTAAGAAATACAAACCGTGCTCAAATTGAGGTGGTTCTAGTTTTAAATGATCAGAACTTTAGTCTTCAAATTCTTGTTTCATTTTCAGCATTAACCTCAGACTTTAATTTTAGCTTGCGTAAAGGACTGTTGTTAGAAAACAGGTCTGTTCGAGTGAAGATACTCAGCTATCAGATATTCTACATTAGTTTTAAATTGACTTTATAATTTGCAGTCGTAGCCTTGGTTCGTTGCATAGACTTAAGCAGGTTTTTCCAGATAGAGTGAAAAAGATGTCTGTGGAGCTCTAAAGAAACAGCGGCTTTTGGGGTTGTCTTCTACAGATTGCTGACCAGTTGTTCAGCTCTCAAACATGGAATCTGATTTTTTTTTTTTTTAAGTGTGAGGCTGTGCCTGTATCCTCCGACCTGAGGTCACAGCAAACCCATCCAGCCCTCATTTACTGCGAAAGCCTCTTTTTTTAAAAAAAAAAAAAATCACGTTAGAGTATTTTTTAGAAGATCTGCTGACTTCAGTGCTTTTTAAGTGTGATTTTTAGATTTTTTTTTTTCCAAGTTGGTTTAGACGTTGGTACTTTTGTGTTTTTATTGTCAAAAGAAAAACCAAGCAGCCCTTCCAACCCTGTAATTTTGAAAATCAGTGCAAGTCTACCATAAGCTGTTAAAATCAAGGAACAATTTATAACTCCTAGTTTCTGCTTTATTACATGACATCAGTGACTAGAAATCCCTTGTATATTGGCTCAGATGTGTTCCTTCTCTTCCTTGTCATATCTGTACCAGCTCTCCTCTTCTCATGCAAATCATCCACTTTCCTCAGTAACCTTGCCCTCTTTGTCTTTATAGCTCTTATCTGGCTCTTTCTGGCGCAGCCAACCCTTCGTTATTGTCCTCGATCTGCTGCTGAAGGGAAATCCTTTGACTGCACTTGTCTCTGACAACCTCAGCATCCTTTGTCACCTTCAGACTCACTGGGGTGGCCCTGAGGTCCTGTCCTGGAGCTCTGCTCTTGCTTCTCTGCTGTTCTCCAACGTCTTGGCACCTTCCCTTGGTTCCCCCTGGCTCTGGTCTGTGCCTGGTACAGTTGACTAATTTCACAATACTTTGGTTTTTGATACTGTCTTGACCTGGTTCTCCTTTGCTTGCTGGAACAGTCTTGACTGTATATCCTTGTTGTGATTTCGGGCTGGGCTGGGCACTAAACCCTGACAATACTTCCAGTTCCCTTCATTACTCTCTGTCTTCTATTGCAGGTCCAGTTTAGCTCAGTCCTTAACCTCTTGCCATATCCTGTGGTGCTTTTTCTTAGTCTTTCCACCAAACACAAATTCAGCTGTGGCTCAGTTCTTTATGATGTTTCAACTCTTGTCTGTCTCTCAGCTCTAAATAAAATCAGCCTTTGTCTTTTAAAACTTGGTTTTGATATTTACGTGTCAACATCAAGCCTCGTGTAGAAAAACCATCAATTCTCATTCAACACTTTTTTTAACTGCTGTGAGTCATACTTCAGTGTCACTTGTCTGACCAATAATGTAGTTTTCATTCTCCTCCGATTCCTTTGCTGCCTTTAGCGGGCCATCTCCTGCCTGTGTGCCATACAGTCTCTGGGATGTACTGTGTGACTAAACAGCTAAAACTCATCCCATCCAGAAGCACCTTATTTCGCACCTCCATTGCTGTGATCACCTCATTGACTTTGGCCTCTCCGGTCTTGCTGCGTATGGACCCACTCTGCATGTTGCAGTCAGAGTCAGGCATGGCTCCACTGGCTCCCTCTCTTTGTAGCTTCGAATGTAGGTTGCTTATCTCTGCTTTCAAGGTCCTTCAGGGCCCTACCTGTAGTCTCCAAGAAGGCTTTTGGCTCCATCCCCTAACTGGGCCACAGTGCAGTATCTTTGTCATTGTTTTTTCCCATCATGACTAGAGGTTTCCCATAATTAGAAACTATCTTGGTTTTCTCTTCTTTCCTGGAAACACCTGAATTTGGGCAACTAGCATGCTGAAACCACAGTTAGTACCGTACTATTCTTCACAAAGTCAGTTGGAACTCAGCAACTTGGAAACTTTGATGTAAGCGGTGAGGAGAAAGCATCATCCTTTGTTCATCTGCAGAGCATTGAGGACGAACAAAGTGCATGGTCAGCAACTGCAGCATTAGAGTCCTACTGCTACACTGCCTACATCACCTTTCATTTCTTGTCTAAAAGAGGTAGCAAATGATAGCAAACAGGGATGAGGCATTAAATTGTAACCCTCTGCCTCCTAATTTCTTGGGTGGGTTGGTGGGTTAGCAGTAACTGCTGACTGCTGTTTGTGATGGAAAACTGTAATTTTGCACTTGAGGCTTGAGGGCCAGCATTAGGAAAGGTCAGCCACATTTGCTGCATAGGTGATGTGGGCTAACACAGATTATTTTGTTGTTGTTGTTCGAGCAATGAGAGAAATTAATGATTAATGGCTGTCCTAGAGGAATTGAGGCTGATTGCAGTGGCACTTGTCTGCTTCTCATTGCTTTTGCAATTTTTTGCACTGAATGTGGAAATGAGAGGGGGCCTTTTCTTCATTACCTGCTTTGAGGGGTTTGTGTTGTTGATTTGGGTCCGCAATAATTTTTCGGTGTAGTGGGATGTTGAGGCCTTTCTTATGGGTGCTGTGGGTGCTAACTTCTAATGGAGATGTAGCTTATGTCAAAAGTCTTTTTTTATTCTTCTCTACAAATAATTTTCCTTTCTGTCTCTAAGAACTATGGCAAATAATGTTTTAGTGAGAGCAGCGGCATGCTGGTGGAAGAGGCTGCCCAAGCACAGCGGGCAGCTCCTGAAGAGGGGCCTTCTCTTTGCAGCGTGGTGGGGGAGCTGACACAGGAGCCGTGTGTACAGTCTCGCTTGTGAAGCTGCCTAAAATGAGCCACGTCAGCAATTTAACTGTACGATAACGGGATAAACAGAGTAGCTGCATTAACGATTTAATCCATGTGATTTTTCCTTGTTATCTCCTCCTTTCTCCAAGATGCATTTAAAACGTTTGCTTATCTCCTGGCAGGTGTTGGTGGATGCTCTTGTTTGGTAGCTCTTCCCCATCACTTGAGTTTTTTAACTCGCCCAAGCGCAAGAAAAGAGAGCGACAAAGTCACGTAATGTATGGGATAAGAACAAAATAGGAAAGGAGAGTCTTTCCTTCATGTTGCTGTATCTAGAACAGCGTGTTACAAGTTCAGTGTAGACACAATCTGCTGCCTTTTGTCTGAAATCCACTGTCTCTGTCTGCCCCCACCATCTGTATTTTTAAGGTGTGCTTTCTTACTATGAGTTTTGTTCATCAATAAGAGGGAGCCATTCTTTAAAGTATGCTGGGACAGAGCTGCTCTGTGGGGACTCTTTTGAATGTTAGGGATGGAGGAATGCTCAAGTGTTTTCTAGAGTTTAATAATCTGGAAATTACTTATTTATGATTTCTCCTTTCCCTCCCAAAACAGAAAAGAGAAGGACACACATCTATCCAAAACTAGGTTGGAATATTAATTATTTTAATGAATTGTGGTTTTTTTTCCTTTTTACAGCCAGCTTGTTTAGTCAGTTCGAATCTTGCATATGCTGTATCACGGGGTACCTGTCCTGTTCCCTCCAAACTAAGTCTGTCCAAATGGGTGGTTTTGCAGGCTACTAGATGAATGATTGGAAAACCCAATTTAATTTGGTCTGTGGGCACAGTTCACAGTAATCAATATTTTACAATAGAAGTTCTGCCAGCTTTCGCAATTCTTAAGAGATTAAACTTGGGAGCCTTTGGTGGAAAAATATGGCAGACTCTTGAGTAGAAGAGCCTGGGCTGGGTTTAATTTGCCAAAATGACCACTTGGAGAGATTTACTTGTCTGGTGATGGAAGGCAATAAAATGTGCTGCAACAAAGGACAGCTTAGTCTATAGGAATTCAGGGTAGAGGAACTTGTGACTTATTCTTGCTGAAAGCTTTGCTGTTGGTTTGTGATAGAGTTGGAAGTGGAGTGTTACAGTGGCAGCCGTGCCGGCTGCCAAAGACGTGGAGCACAGCATGTGCCTGGGTTAGAGGAAGCAAGGGGTCTTTTTGCATGGTGTGGTTGGAAGGCGAGTGGTACTCACGGTAGGTGAAGGTCTGGTGTTGTCTTGAAATCCCAGTAAATGAAATAGCAGATGTAGTTGACAGGAAAGGGGTCAGGCTTGCCACATCTTCCAGCTGTTTTCCCCGGTGCAATACCCTTTTTTGGGGGGATTGAAGCCAGGCAGGCTGTGAGATCTGTCTCGCTGACTCAGTTTTTGCTTTGCACTGGCTTAGAAGACATTTAACGGCATTGCTACCATAACATGATGTTTAATATTTGGTCTATATGTTCCTTATGTAGGAAATAAATGTCCTTGTTTTCTGATGCACTCTATGCTATGAGGAAGTGCCCCAGTAAAAC